GTTTTTAAAATTTCCACTCAGTTTCTGCTTCCATGGTTAATGGAGTCTCAGTCATTTTCGGAATACGTAAACTGATTCTATTTGCAGCCGATAAATGATACTTACCCGGAGTTCAGAGGTGTGTTTACCGTGGACGTATTGGACTGTTATTAGGATATAAAGTACAGTGTACATTTGTACACAGTGTACAAAAATACACAGTATGTCTTTTTGAGAATCTGTCTCGTATTCGACTGGATTTAACAGATTACGAGGATCAAATTTCTTCAAGCAACATGGTGTAGATTTTAGAGGAATTAAAAGTTTGGATATTCAGATTATGTTAATCGTGATGCAGAATTTGCTATATGCTAAACAGAGTAATTTGCTTTAGTTTTGGGCGAGCGGCCAAGTTGTCTTTTGCTGTAAGGTGGACCTTAAGGGTTTGCCACTTCTTGTAGGAATCTACTGGATATTCGTTCAAAAGTAGGTTCTGAAGAGCGGATCCTTTTTTCTTTCCTTCATTTCCGAATTTTGTTGTTTTTTCATGACAGGAATTAGAATTAAATCAAAACTCGATCACTCTACCGTAAATAAGTGAATAAAACCCCGAAATTGTCTCAAAATCCCTACTGATTTTTGATAAAGGGCTTGAACCAAATTAGAACCATCTTGATGGACAGCTAACACACAGCTTACCTGGCTTGCAAGACGTGGTAGATCACCAACTGAAAATGTCCATCTAAGTCAGTTTCAAATCTATAAAAATAACTTCAGTTTTACTATATCACAGAGAAAAAATGAGTTTATAATGGGCTCTATTAATGTGTTTCCATTTAGTTGTTTGACATTTTTAATGAGTGACAAAAAAACTGAGCTCATCAAAAAGCTCAAATTGCTCACATTCCAGAATACCATTCAGACATAAGAATAGATGTCCATTGCTGGAGAGCATCTAAGTCGTAGGTTATTTTAATTCGGGAGGATTACTCTTAGTTTAATGATAGGTAAACGAGGTTATTTATTGCGGTTTCCTGAAAGCTTTTTTAAATCAAATTACATTCGTCGCCTTAGGAAGCGAAATTTTCATAGTAATTTTGCGACACTTCATTAGACAGTGAGTGCGACACGAAAACTGAGACGGATAAATGTACCAAGATAATCAGCAAATGTCATATATTTTGAGGCGATTTGCCAGTTCAAAGTATGAGACAATTGACTAAAAAAATGGTAATGAAAATAACTCTAACCTCCAGCTATGGTAAGATGGTATATTTTATCAAGAATACCAGCCAAACTTATACCCCATTCACACCAGCAAAACATGTTTTGTTAAACTGGTTTTCATTGAATGAAAATTATAAACAGAGAACTGAAAAACTTGATTTTCCATTGGATTCAAGTACTTGCTAACTTGCATTTCCAATGTGCTACATTCAAGTCAAAAATATTCGGTTAAATAGTTTCTATGAAGAAAAAAAAATTAAACTGTGTTTAACAAAACAACTTTTAAACATGTTTAAGCTTTGGTGTGAATGGGGCATTAGTTTTTATCTCCTCAAACGCGATAAAGAAATGTTCAGCAAAGAGTTTTAATATTCAACAATTATTCACAGAAATAGAATTGAACAATTGTTGTGGTATATACCACCACGCGGAAACAAAAATTTAGTTTATTTCTGTAAATATACCGGAAGATGGTCAGGAATTAAACACTTGAAGCGTGACTTTATCTCTTCTGCTGCTCGGAGGCGAATAGTACTTGCCAGTACTTGTACCACTACTTGTATCACTCCGATAGCCATGAGCCATGATTTTCCAAAATAATCATTACTGAAAAAAGCAACAATTGAAATCTGCAGGAGAGTTGAATTCATGTTAAATGTGATGTCCATCCCTACGCCCCACCACTTGGTGGTTTTTGACAGGACTTTTTGAGGACTTTTCCAGATGTAAGTTTTAGGGAGAGATTCGGTGATGCAATTACGCTGTGCTCGCGCTGTGATTTTCCTCGTTTCATGTGCGATAAAGTTAGCAACACTGTATATCAGTAACATCAGTTTGTGACTCTCAACGCTCTTGGAAAATGCGCGATTTCAGAGAAATTCAACCCAAAAGATTTCAATTTTCCTGTAGTGTCGTAGACAAAAAGAAAAACATTGCATACACGGGTTCTCGTTAGGGGCCTTGACATCATTGGCAAATGGGGTTTTGAAGGCAAAAGGAAATTTTTTTTCTAAAAGGTCGTGAATTCAGTCCCTCACGCTTTGACACCTCAAAAGTGGTACAGAATAAGTCTAAAAATTTTGTAAACCAGGCAAGAGTGCAACAGACAGTGTTGTTGAGTGCTTAGTTCATACTGTCTGTCTTTGCTAACCTCAAACGGTTCTTATATTTCTGGTTCAAGTTGGTTTCTCACCAAATTGAATGCCTAAGCCTTCCTCTTTGCATTTGATCATGAAAACTGCAGATGGAAAGCCCGAGACCTTTAATAATTCATTTCTAGGAAAGGTGAAAGGAATAATCTAAAGATCAAGTGCAAAGGGGCACACAAATTTTCTTATCGGCTCAGGTCACAGGTAATATTTCACGAGGAAAGATGACAATATCACCTTATTCGGCAAAAAAGGCTACGGAAACGAATTTGTCAGATGATGGCTGTACTGTCAATTGATAAATAGAGGTTACATTTCAATCAGGTAAGGAAAGTACTCCGGGTTTGTATGGATTTTGTTCTACTTTATTCCGTGATTGGTCTGGAATACTCGCGCCATCTTTTAAAATTTCAATCCAAACTGGGTCACTCGTGTTTTCCCGCGCTTCAACCACGCTTCAGGCAGTTTGTTTCTTGTTATTTTGAGTTCTCATTAGCTCCTGGTTACATTTCTCTTTGTTCTGATTGCCCTTTGTGACACCCTAGGTGCTGTTCATACAACACTCAATCGAGGGGCGTCGTAGAGGAGCTAAGATATTTTGAGTCTTTTGTAACAGAGTGGTAGCTTTAAATGATAGTTTTTTGAGGAACAAGAACACTAAAGAGTTAGTAACAGAAAAAAAAAACAAACATGAATGGTTACGGATGCAGCGACTAACCAGGGGCGAGGATAAAAAAGTGAAATATTTCGACATAATTAAAGGTTTTTTGAATGATTTACACAGTTAATAACACTAATTTCGTACACGTTTGCAAAACTAATTTATTAAATGTATAGATGTTAACATACACGTATTTTTGCTGCATGAAAAATAAATACTCTTACTTTCCATATCAGACCAGCATTTAAACTTGTTTAGCAAAAATAAGCATTTTTTTTTGTCATGAAAATAGCACAAAAATACTTAATCTAATTTAGTATGTTCAACTATTTCAAGTATAAACAACTGTGAATGCATGAAAGTCATATATTTGAACTGCGGATAAAGACGTGAATATGAAAGCGATCTTCGCAGTAATGAACACTACTTGAGCAGTAGCGAAAATAGGGCCTGAAAAAACTTCAGGCCTGTACGAGATGTGAACCCATGACCGTACAGGCCTAGATTTTTTTTAGGCCTTTTTTTTCACTACTGCTCAAGTTGTGTTCTCTACTGCGAAATCCCTTTCATATCCACGTTTTTATCCGCAGTTCAAATATATGACTTTCATATATATTCACAGTCGTTTATTCACCACTTCACGGGTTTATTTTGAACCAACATAATGACCAGCTCCCAGTTAGCTTGTTAGCTCAGTTAGTAGAGCACTGCGCCGGTATCACAGAGGTCATGGGTTCAAATCCCGTACAGGCCTGAATTTTTTTCATGCCTTATTTTCACTACTGCTCAAGTAGTGTTCATTACTGCGAAGATCGTTTTCATATTCACATATTTCAAGTATCATTGAAAAGGATATAATTAACGGTAAAGAAAATAATTATCTCCAAAATATTTCTGTATGTAGAATATTCTGTAAACACATAACAATATTTAGTACTTTATAAAAGGTTTTGTTACGTCTTTGCCTTATGTTTGTTTACCATCTCGTTCACAGAGATATGCTCCATCGTGTAACACTTCTTAAAAATATAAGCATAAATTTAGAATAGCTGAAAAAATTTAACAAATAAAAATGAAAACTTTCTCAATTGTATAAAAAATCCAGTACAAAGATCAAGAAACAAGGATTTCTCTCTATTTAGTTCGAGTAATTCAACCACCCAATGTGTCTCCCTGAAAATAAACGTTTCTAGTTTTTTTTCCATAACAAGAACATGTACGTTACAATGAATACTTACGTCCTCTTGGGTACTTAGTGACAAAAAAATTTTCATCGATTGTATTCTCATATCAGTTGTAAAAACTCAGTAACATCACTAATGTATCATTAATCATTTTAATTAGCAAATTTAATTTTTGCATAAACCAATAGTTAAATGTTCGATTAAACCGTAGAAATTTCCTCAGACTTGATAACAGCATCTTAAAATATATCTAAAAAATCTTTAGTTTTATGTTTTTGACGAAACCTAAAATGTTCACTTCCACGAATTCACACAATTTCTTACAAACTAAGTAAAGCTTTTGTAGTTTGTTAAGCAAGAATTGAATTCGAGTCCAGGAAGATTTGGCTTGAGATCATCACCGGATCACAAAGCTTCCTTGCAACCTTGAGTTCTTTATAACCTCTTTGACCCTGAAGTCTAACTCTATAACAACCTGTTGGCTACAACTCAATCATTTACTCCAAAGAGAGAGTACTACCCGATAGACGGTCAGTCAACATTACATCTAAATGCAACACGATTACAAAGTTTCAGTTCAAATTTTATTTCAAAGGCATTCAAACGATCACAAGGTTGACATTAATAAATCATTACAGTACTAACACGCACATCACCTACTTCAGCACTGAATATTCTCACTGGACTTTAAGTACTTTTAAACTGGCTATTTTGTTAGAAAACCTGAGATTTATCCAATCTTTGAAGGTCCAAATTTGTTCAGCACGATGAGCACGACTATGTCAGAGCCTCAGACCTACTTCAGCATTCGTCGTCTGAATCAACCAAACTTTCGTGTTCCGAGTACCAGTGGTTAAGGTACATGTCTTCTTCAGAGTCAGAAATGCTCTCTGCCTCCGCCATGTCATCAACCTTAGTAAAAGAAGTTTGTTCTCCAGCCAAACAAAGGCTTGTTTCAGCTTCAGCGTTTTCAATCCTTGATCGACCCTCTACCAAAGACAAAAGAGTGTTCAACGGCAGTGCAGAGCCCAGCCCACGGAGTCTTATTAGGCACACTCGACCAGACGAATTAAAACAGACGGCTACGTCTTCCTCACGGGAAACCGCCATGCTTAGAATGCACTCCTCGCCTTGGGCTGCTTTGGAAAATCCAACAGCTTTGAATCCGCTCATGTCCCACAAAAAAACCATACCATCGATACCATAGGAGATGAGGTAACGATTTTCTCTAAGAAACTTGCAAAAATCAATTCTACCAAGATGGCCGCGGAGAACCCGCTTGGAGGAATTGATATGAGAAACGTTAAGATTGTAGACAAGAATTCTGTTAGCAATGCAGCAAGCTAAAAATTCATTGTCCAGAGAAACGCAGCACTTACTGAAATTGACAGACTGGTAGGACTTCTCCACTCCAAGTCTGTTCAAGAGCCGACAAGGATCTTCATTGTACTTCCAGATCTCAATCTGATATTCGCCACAAAGAATAAGTTTCGTTTTGCAAGATGAAAGACAACAACAGTCTACATTGAGAAGTGTCTGTGACCTAAAATTCCCTGATCTAGTTTTTCCTGCAACATCCCACACAAAGCAAAGCGGAGGAGGTTTGTAATCCTGTACACAAAGAAGAAGTGAGGTACTGTCTGATGAAAACGCCATGTGCACAGTCGTGTTCTCACATTCTGCTTTAAATAAGTCTATTTTGTGGAGGACCTCCACAAAGTTAGCAACTGCGAGGATATATAGATTCACAATGATTCCTTGGTGAATGGCTATGAGCTGTCCGCTTGGAGAGAGAACACAGTTCTTTACATGAGCCGCTTCCAGTGTCAGTTTGTCCTGAGATTTGATGGTGAAGTCTTCTCTTGCTTTGTTGATCTGCCAAAACGTTACTCTTGAGTCAGACGTAACATTTAAAACGCTTATCCGCGGAACAGAACATGGTCGCAACTGATTTTTGTGCGACTGACGTGTCCGAAAGAGACACGGAAGTAAACGCACCGTTCGAACAGTACACAGTAGCGACCGACTCTCCTAATTTTAAGGGTACCAAAAGTGATTCTGACATGAACATGAAAGGACAGAATAAATTCGATAAAAAGATGGCTTTATCTTCGATATCGCCACGAAACAAATAACCCAACTGCCCTTCGTTAGAAAAGTAGTAGAGTTTGCATCCCGACACACTAGTGAGAACTGAGCCTGTTTGGAGAGATAAGGCGCAAAGCGAGGAATTTCCATCAGCAATATAGATAAAGAAGAGATCGTCGATTGTGAACGTAAATTTTGAAAACCACTTGCAATTACTGATGATATGCCCTGTGGTCTCCCAGTCGTTAGAGAAGTGTTGTTGACTTCTTGGAATAATCTTAAGAAACTCCTGGTTATCGGCTGCGATGATCCACTTTCTTTCTGGTGACAAGTAAAGGCAGATCTCTTCTTTCATCTCATGAACTAGATTCTGAAATCCTTTCGGAATGCTTGAACAAACATCAAATGTTAATGCTTCATTATCAAACTTGTTCAATGTCTGAGGGGTAAATGATTTCAACTCATCGCTCGAATCATCCCCATAGTCGCTCGACCTTCCTTCCCACAGGTACTTTATTACACCACGTAGAGTCGACCGAGTTTGATAATGCTTCCTGGTCGACTTCGTCCTCAGCATTTCTTGGAGTATCCTAACTTGCATCGACGTACTTTTCAATCTATCGGAAATAACACTCAGTTTGATCCACGTGGGAAAAGAATTTTTTTTTTCAGGCGTTTCATTTCAATCTCCATTGCCTTACTTATTTTGAATTCTTTCTCTAACACGTTCCTACAAAAAATGTCAAGCCTTCCTGTTCGATTAATGGCGCTTAAAAGTTGAAAATTACAAATCGATCCTAATTCGATAACACCCTTTGAAAACACCGTTTCGAAATTAAAATCAGAAAACACATAGCCAAAATGAAAAAAATATGTAAAAGCATCTAGGTGAGCATCCCCTGCAAAAAGGTGCTTTAACACGGGTTCTCCAGTCTTTACATCCCACACCTGATATTGGAAAATGTAAGAGTAAAGCTCGATGATAACGGAACGAACGGCTTCCAAAGGTGGTTCTCGATACGAGTTTAAGAGTAAACTCCATTTTTTGTAGCAAAGACAACTCTCGTCGGTATGCCAACAAGCCTCTCGATCCGAACGAACAGTCACCTCCTCATCTTGGCTCTCCTCAATTTCCTTAAAAGCCCACAAAATAATCAAGTTTGTTAGACAAGACTTGGATTCACAGTTGACTCCACTCTTAAATCCCTGTCTTCTAACGACAATGGACTTTCTATCGCGAGTAAAAACGCCCCACTGGTAGAAATGAGAATTTCCTAAGAACTGCGGGATTCTTTCCACACATCTTCGTTCTACTGAAAACCACCCGTCAAGGCGTCCAAAAAATATAAATTGGCCATCAGGGGAAACTTCTATATGTCTTATTTCGTCAAGTGCGCTTACTTCACAAACGTCACTTATTAAGTGCGCTTTAGATGCATCAAAGAGTAGCAAGGAATGACCGTCCGACCCAGCGACCAAATTGCTACTAGAAGTAGCAAAGCAATGCATATCTGTAATGTTGAGTCAATAAAAATAGGAAAGCTGCTCTCTAAACAAGGACCTGAAAGTTCAGAAACCAAAACGGTCTCTGGAAGAACGGCTGAAGTGTTTTTTAAACATGTGTACAGAAGGTGAGGCCATTCTGAAAGAATGAGAGCATTCGATGTAAGAATCGTAGAGATCTCACGCAGGACATTTTGGTCCTGTTTGTTCTCGGCAGTTAAAAGTGCAACAGCCAAATGAAAATCTGCAATTAGATGATATATCTCGATTTTTCCACAAAGCAATCTTCTCTCTATGTACTGATAATTCGTTAAACAATTAAAAATGAGTTTCAAGAAATCTTTCCCGCCAAATTTACATAAAAAGCGAACTGAAAAGCGCACCACATAGTTCAACAAGTCCACGTCAATGGATGAGCATGGTTTTGGAGAATTCTGGATAAATGAAGAAGCAATTTCAATAAAAACGTCTCTAAGGTAATTGATTGCGGTTTCTTTATTGATGAATAACTTTCGAGCTTTCGACTTGTTCGACAACCAAGCTGGCACCAGACTGTGCAAAAAAGTTAAGGTCTGATCAGCAGACCGTAACACCACAAACAGCGATAAGGCATCGACCACTTGTCGCTCATCGTGAGTCGAGTTTTCCCTTTCAAGGATGTACGAAATGATAGACAAAGGTAGTGGAGATGGGGCTACGATGGCGCAACCAAAGAGTTGCTTGAAAATATCCTCCCCAACTTGGACACAGACTCTTTCCAAATTCTTAAGGAAGAACTCGTCAATATCTCCCGGGAAAAGTTGGTTTATATAACTGATTTTCTTGCTAGAAACGATAGCGTCTTTCAATTCTTTCACGATATAATGTGCGTACAAGAATAATCCGTCACACTTTTTAGTCACATCGTCAATCGAGATGGCAAGACGAGAGAAATCGATCCTTTTCTCCAAAAAGTTTTGAATATCTTGCTCATGCTTCTGATAAAAGTTCTGCTGGTCACTGTTACCGGCACAGATTTTAATACAAGGGTTGTACCTCCTCAGTCTTGATTGAACAGATTCTTCAGGGCGACTGGTGACAAAGAACACAAGCCATTCGGGTAGCATGGAGAAACGATGCTTAATAAGATCAAGAAAATCTTCCCTGGACTCGTATTCTGTCTCATCTAAGGCATCAATAATGACTAAATATTTCTTGTCGCTTGACCCACACGTGCTTAATGGCTCATGCAATAGTTTAGTAAACAGTTCCTTAACACCGAGTTTAGAGTTACCTAACAGCATTTTTACCCCATTCTCTCCCCCTATAATTTCGTTATACTTATCATTACAGGCGCACAATTGATGGGCAACAGTTCCAAGGAGATATCTGGGGTCGTTTCTGGTACCATCGTTGTGACGGCAAAAGTATGCTGCACCTAACTGTCCAGTCTCTCTCATTCGCTGTGCCAAGGCTCCGGCTATGACACTCTTTCCGATTCCTGGGTCGCCAAGTAGAACATAGGCTCTAGAGTTTCCAGAATCACGGAACCAGGCGTTAAAATCATCAAAGAACCACTGTCTCGTGTGAGGATCATGCCGCTTGGCAAAAAATGCGATATCAGCATCAAACACAGAAATCTCTGCAAATAAGGCAAGAGTAGATGACGTTGTTTTTTCGAATCAAGATACTATTTATGGTTGGATAATGGAGAGAATCATGTAAATTGCTCGATCTTACTGTTCAGTGATCATTGTATCACTCAGTGATAGCTATATCAGTACTATTTTGAGAGCTACTTTTACTATGCAATCTGATGAGGGACACAAGGAACCCACCCGCAGACACCGTGCTGTGGCATTGTTGAGATATCACATCCTCAGAACCTTTAGGATTGCAGGCCCCTGAATAAAGAAAAAAATGATTTGATAAGTAGCTAGTTTTATAATCGTACGACATTCCAACTTTATAGCTTGGATATATCATAACATTTTTAATGACTGGGTGGAGGGGCTGAAGGGTTAATATTTGACTCAACGTTCGTTCTCTGCGACCGAGAGCTAAGTACTTCTGCGTCCAGCCCGACCTTAGTCAGTCAATTTGCATTTTATCGTATGATCGACGCCTCTTTTCGTTCTTTCGCTCTTCTTTTAGCTCACATCTCTCAGGGTTGCACAGCTTTTTCTGTTCCTCCTTGCGCTTTCGTTTTGAACCACATACGGGAATTTTTATTCATCGTGTTTTTCATTGAAAGCACGCGCGTAACCGTAGGGATCAAATGACAGTTTTATTTATTGCTAAAACATAACGTGACAGTTTGATTCAAGAGCATGTATGCTCACGCCTCGATCATGAAATCACAGTGGGTGCGGATGCAAAGGGGTAAACTTAGTGCACTGACGGGATCACTGTGTTCATGTTTCATATGAAACTTTGAAAAGTTTTTGTCACAGATAAATAATACAGAACCATGTTCATCTGTTATATTAGGTCTATTAGCAAGCTCATGACCAGACGACTAACAGTTGTGTTTATTTTCACTTTCCTTACCTTGATTTTCCAGCAGTGAGACTCTTTCTTTCAAGCATTCGATTTCCTGTGAATGATCTCGGTTTATAGCTTCTTGCTCGACCTGCATCCGATCAAGTCTTGTTTCCATTTCTTCTAGTGCCAGTGAGACACGTTCTCTGTCCTCTTGTACTTTAAACGTCAGCTTTTCTACATCTGTCATCAGATCATGAACGTGCTGTTGTACCAAGTTCAACAAATCAGGATCCATGGTTACGTTCATACAAAGAATTGTGCCTGAAATAAAAGTCAAATTAGCGGGCTTTGCAGTTTCCATTTATATTATGGCTTAGATCTAGAAAAATGATCATTTTTCCTTTTTCATCCAGTGGAGATGAGCATGGTTAAAATTACCATCTTAAGTGAAGAAGAAAGTTGCAAGAAAACGCCGTGTATTGAGCATGAAGTATCGAAGACCGTTGCCTATCAATTTCTCCTGATTGAAACATAAATCACTATGAAACTGGTCATAGATACCACCTTATCACAACTCTTGGTAGAGCTTGCTGAAGGTAGATATACATCGCAATCGAACATTATTTCAAGAGTATTTCAACGCTGACTAATACAAAATTACAAGAGATGTGAGAGATTTGTAAGAGACATTTGTGACTTTCACAGTTTTCTACGTCATCACCCGCTGACTCGTTACCAGTGTACGGGACACTTTTAGACAAAATGAAGCACTTAAAAGCCCGAAAAAGACTCAGATTTCTTTTTTTGGGGAATTTTTTTTTTCTATCAGAATTGGTTTATACACATGAAAAGCGAAAGAAATACGCAAAAATAAGGCACATAAGCTATAAGAATTGTGGATAGAAAGGGATAAGATTTTACAGTAGTCAGGAACACAGCTCAGTGTCATCCAGCAGCATCCTAATACTTGACAACTCAATATCCAAATTCACTACACTGTTACAAGACAACAATAAGTAATGGCGTTATTATTGTCTTGGAAAACATAGATCCATAAAGTTTTCCCTTTTTACCCTTGCAAATGTCACTTTTCTCTCTTTACTGGTCCACTTTCAAACAAAGCACAAAGAAGTTGTTTATATTGGTGCATTAAATAAGTCCTCGGGATGACTGACGGAAAAACCCACTTGAGGCAAAGAAGAATCTCCCGCCCAAATTATTAACTCGACAGGCTTAAATGCAAGTTGCTGCAAATTGGCCTCCTATCCTGGGAGACAACTTATTTCCAGGTCTGCTACCAACTGAGGTCAAGCTCCTTTCTACACCTCAGCAATTCCAAGTACGCAAAAGTTTCAAAGATGTCATGATGTTATCATTGCTAAGAGGAAAATCTGGCTAAGTCAAGGACATTCAAGCCACCATGAAGTTCCTAAAAACTTTAAACGCCTACCACCTAGCATTAAGATCTACCATGAAACTAACAAATTCCAAATCTAGAACCTGTCTGACAACAATATTTTTTAAGGAAACCTGCAGCAAACATGAGTCTACCTCTCAACTTTCATCAGACCCATAAGGACCAAAGGTAAAAGAGCATTCCTTAATTAAGACCATGATACTATAGCTCTTAATCCTAGGATATTTTCAGAAAGGAATATGAACCATTTAAGATATCTTTCAAAATTTTCCGTACCCACAGAAGTTACTTGTCTCCACTATTGCCGCCTTTATAAATTCTCACCTGGCAACCAGTCCAGATTAAAATGGCATATGAGAATCAAAAGTCTTAACAGGAAGCTGTTAAAAGTCAATTGAAACTTCGGTGGTAAAATAGAAAGAGTAAAGAATGGAAGAGGGAAAGCCATCCAAGGTCAGTTATCAGAGCACCATGTACAGTACAAATGTGTGATACATGCATTGGTTACATGAGTTGCCATCCTATAGCAACACATTGCCATCCATAGTGATACATGTAATTAAATAAACATCTGAAGAATTATGAACACCAAGTCAAGACCTTTCACCATGATGAGCACTTCTCATTCCTGGGGAAGTGTCAGTGAAAGGTCAAGGCTTCCTCATTAATAAATGTTTGCATTTTCATGCAAAAACAGAAACTCAATATACAAATGCACTCCACTCAAACAACTTTGATCCATCTATTGAGGTGTTTGCATGATTAATCAAGCCAATCAACTATTTGTTTACACCACATCACTACCTATCATTTTGCATACAATGGGTATTTCACACTGTAATGGTATATTTTAACTTGATTTTTTTTCTAATTTTTGTAAGAATGTCGAAATGTTGTGCACCTCTAAACACAAGTACACTAATAAAATAAAATTACTGAAAATAACTGTGATATAAATAAAAGAAGATACCTTTCTCCTCCCAATCCTTTAGCTCTGCTAAAAGGTCCTTTCTGCTGGAACCTGGAAGGCCGAGTTTTTTAACAAGCTGTTCCAAAGCAGCAAAGCTCTGTTTATAATTCACAGGATCCCATTCACGGAATATACAGTGTGCCCAGGCATTCCTAGCCTCTCTTACAGCACCTGCTGCACTTTGTACATCAAAAGAGAACACTGGGACTCTGCCAAGCAGCGTAAGCACTGCTGATGCATCACAGCACTCATCAAATGCATTGAATTTAGCCATGTGATTCTCCACATACAACTTAGCAAAGTCAACATGTGACATCACTCGGCAATCAAACTTGGAGAAGTCATACCTTCCATGAGGTAGTCTAGGAATTCCATCATTACCATTGATGTTCTCATACTTCAAGGACATTGGCCAGTGCTTAAGACGCCCTGATGTGCTCTGAGTATGAATGCCATGGCTAGTTTGAAGATTGCCATATTCTTTTTGGACTTCTATTTCTACAAAAGGGCGTATTTGGGAAACTAGAACTTTGTTCAGTGCAATTCCAAAGACCAACCATTGCTTCTGGTTTTCTGTAACGCTGTGCAGTGCGGATCTATGAATTCAATAAAAAAATAAATAAAAGTGGTGTTTGGTGGACTTTAAATTTACATTGTTGGTTTGGACTGCAGGTCCAGAATCCAACAGTTAAGCAGACAAGAGATTTTTTGTATTTAACAGCTTAACCCTCCCCAATCTGATGATCATAGATGACACCACCCCTACCCCCATCTTCACATTGAGCATCCACAGTTATAAATAATTTCAAAGTTGTATCCGCAAATTAGGGCTTGGTGAAATAAGGAAATTTAAAAGTCCTTCATTTCAAGTTTAAACTGGATAATGGTACCTCTCTCACAAATGGGATAGAATGTTTACACAAATAACAGGTGACAGCATTTAAGTTATTTATCATAATCTTTCTTTGATTGAGTAAATTAAAAATGTTAATAATGAAGGATTGATTTTCATGTAATTCAATTTTGAATAGACTGTGCAATATTGATCATTGGGATGTTTAACAACTTTAATGCATCAACAGGATTGATGAAAGAAGGTTCTATACAAGGTACAATTGAAGCAGGTAATTTTAAATCTAATGCAGTTTAAGGAGGTTCCAATCAAGGTTAATAACACTGGGAAAATGAAAACGTAGAGCTTATCTTACCCTCCTGATGCTCCTGCTGTTCCCATTATCCCTCAAACAATCCTCTCATTGTTACTTGACAGTAGACATCATGCCTCTGCATAAAAACAAAATTGGACCAATAATCAATAAGAGTTCCATGTCTTACAAATAGCTGACTGAAAATGAATCATCATCACCAAGAAGAAAATATATCTTGATTATGAGTTGTTGTGCTCATTTTATGACAAATCAGCTTGCAAAAAAGGAGATTTACCATGGTTATAGGGCAATTGGGTACCAGTATTTAATCCTTAACTCTTAATATTTCTGAGGACCAATTAAAATTTATTATCATTATGGTGTTAATCAACTTCTCATTCTAAAATTTTTAATTTGAGAAATAAGAAAAAGAAATGGTTTTCTACAAATCACAGGAACTGTTTCAGACTTTTGATTCCATACTTCTGCTTCTGGGAGGCAGATTTTTACCTTTCTGTAGCTCAGTAATCATTCCATGCTGTCCTTCAGCAGCATTTACATTATAGTAAATTAGTTTCCAGTAAGTCATTAAACCACTTTTTACATTAAACACAACCATCTGAGCTTTGGGGGATGGTGCCATAGATCAGGAAAAACTCTGAGACTTCTTTTAAATTTGTTTTTATTTCACTTACAGCAGCTGAAGGCCTCAATGAAATTATTACACCATTTCTGTTGTTTGTTTCAAGCAATAATCCATTTTACAGTTGTGTGCTTGGTTTCCAAGCCTTTGAACAGGAATGAGGCTAAGGGTGACCTTGTTATGATACAAACCTTGCTGCTTTTCAAATGCAAATTACTTTGTTATCATGCTAACTAGATACTGGTATCTATCACAACAAGGTCACCTTCAGCCTCACTCCAAATCAAAGGCTTGGCAACTAAGTAAACAACTGTAAAATGGCCTATTGACATAATAAAATGTTTTCAATGCAAGTTGAATATTTTGTGGATGTATTGATTATACTGTCTGAGAAAAGTGTTCACAAGATTTTAAGCACAAGATCTTCATGATTTTTAAACACGGAAAGTATTATGTGAAGGGCAACAAAATTGAGTAAATTAAAGCTGGCAGGTTCCTTGAAGAGCTGCTCAGAGTGTTCCTCTGTTTTTTAGAAAGTTATTGTATACATGTTTATGGAGTAATTAGAGGCCTACTCCAGCTTTACTAGCAAGACGGAAGGATCAACAGTATCAAAAACTTTACAAAGATCTTGGAAGACAACACAAGAACAGTAATTGCCATTATCAAAAGAACTAATAATATTTTATTTTAGAAGAGGATAAGTGCATGACTAGTACAAAGCTTGCATATGGCAAGCCAAATATGAAAAAGGAGGGTTGAGTTCAAAATTACCTTTTGAGATTCAGTGATCAAGATGTGAGATTAGAAATCAACACATAAGAATTTTAATTACCCATCAAGAATGAAAAACCATTAATCGAGAAAAAGACTGATGTAGCAATATACCAGGATATAAATGTAAACTGTTCAGAATGAGAAATTGTCAAGTGAGAAAAAGAAAGCACTATGTGAGATCATTGACTAGTTTTTCTAAGCCCCATGGTAGACAACTTAATCCAAGCTTGAGCCTCAATCACAATGCAAGTTCTACAAGTACCTCGCATTTTTCATGAATGACGAACATCAGACAAATCAGTACTTCCAACATGACAAATAGGTCAAGGTCGCAAGGAAAAGAAAACACTCCATTCTTTTGATTTGATATCAGTTGCTAGCCCAACAGTCAATGTTATACCACGACAGGGAAAAGAGGGTGGCACTGAGTGAGCACATTGAGTCCACACACGTAATGAAAGAGAAACAAGCCTGATTTTTTAACATTGTTTTGTATGAAAGATGTGAACAATTTGAGATGAACACTCTGAATGCTTTGAAATGAATACTTTTAACACTTTGAAATTAACACTTTGAATACTTTGAAATTTGTATCTCAGTGTTACAGTTTTTTTGTTGTGCATAACATTTTCATATTACAGGTATAAGGATTATTGTAACACAAAATACAAGTTACTGTTGATGGCATTTTTTAAAAAAAGATCAAGTCACAAAGTTATATCAATTTAAATGTCATTACAGCTGTCACTGGCATGTAATTGCATGTAAATGTTTGTCTTAATGTTCAGTGCAATTTGTAACAACTGAAAAAAAATTAAGACCATTTAATTGTAAAAGCTTTGAATGCAACAGAATAACTTTGACCTTATTTACTGGTTGATCTTCACAATGTTTTAGTTTTAATGAATACAATGTCTGCAGTAAGCTTTTCCATCTTTCTGATGCTCATGTGAGGGAGGGATAACAATGATCATGTACATGCACTTCCATTATCATCACAGGAAATATCAACATAATTTTAATTAGAAGCTGATATATGTTAATTCATTAATGTTCAGTGAAACCTTTTATGATTGCCATGGTGTTCAGAAAGTGGTTAATTCCGTTGTTTCCACCATCAGAGAGAGGGTCAATCCTATTGTAATTAATGCAGTTGGTGATCTGTGAGCTGACTGTGTGACCCTGGCACAACAACATTGTTGTCTGTTTCAATATCAGTCAGTAAACCATCATAATCAATTCCATATGTCTGCCAATTTGTGACCATTGATTCCTTGGGAGAAGTGAGTAATCCAGTGTACCACATGGCCAAGGGTGTTTAGTAGCCAACTGTTCTATGCAACAATTTCTCATTCTCAGCAGCTGACAATTAGTTCTCAGTATATTGCTACAGTCGAACCTCAATTATCCAGACTCGTTGGGACTAGATGATATAGTCCAGATAATCGAGAATATGAATATCAGCAAGGAACAAAAACTGATTAAATTAAGTAAGCAACATTTAATCATGAAACAAAACATTCTCAAATCATTTTGAAAAATGATTTGTGAACTGAATATGCAAGCTGAGTGCTTACCTTCCCAGTTTCACTTAATAGTATGCCCCTTTAGATCACTTATAGCACCTTAGATCGATTGCACTACAACCAGCTACTATTGTGAATCTTTTTAGCTAGACTTAAACGTCATTTTTGGTCATTTTAGACATCATTCTAAGTTATTTTAGGCACAGGCATCCCCAAGCTCACGTCTCGAGAAAAAGCAAACGCGTAATTGATGAAAGTGTCACGCATTGTATGACTTGATATTAGGGTTAGGAGAGGATCCCACTAAGAATTTGAACATGTAATAAGGAATAATATAGGGAACGAAATATGGTCGATTTACAACCATAAATATTTCGAAATATGTACATTTTACTCATAAAATCAATAGAACTCACATCTTGTGGGTCCGTTGTCACTTTGAGTCATTTTAAATCATTTTAAGTCATTTTAGTTCATTTCTTGCTTTGGTAACTACAAGGAAGGAGGTTCTTTATTTCTTTACAAGACGCCCTCATCCATTGGCTGAATCAGCGAAGTTGTGTTTGGAGGGAGAAACATACAGGTTACAGACCCAGCGCCTGTTTTCAGCTCTCAGAGTCAGGATAAGCAGAACAGTTGTCCATCAGCAACAACACTTTAGGGGGGCGAATGTTTTGTGCACGTTAGTGGCGTTTAATAGCCGGGACGAAATCTCTCTTGAAACACTCAGCAAAAATCTCCGAGTTCATCCAAGCGCTTCCTTGAGACTTGAAAATGATGTGAGCGCGGTCATGTTTACGTTCCTAAAAACATCATGGCTTTGCAAATTTTCCAATCATAATTGGTTTCAGTTTATTTGTTCCTGTGGCATTGGTACAACCAAGGAGGGTTAAGCGATCTTTTGATTCCTTAAAGCCGGGGGCAGATTTTTCACGGCATGACACCAGGGTTCTGTAGTGCAAATATCTCCACAGGAGTCCTGTTTCGTCGCTGTTGTAGATTTGCTCAGCGGTTAAACTCTTTTCTTCCATCACTTAACGTAACATTTGAAGGAAGGCTCGACTGTTTCTTCTGCTGCAAACTTAGACTTCTAATTCCATGACGATTTTTTAATTTCTCAAGCGATCCTGTCGAAGCCTAAGGGATCTGTGTATAGCTGGCTGTAAAGAGTATTTGGCTCTCTCTAGAATAAGAGGACCAGAAATTGGAGTGCCAGATGTTCGTTGCTGGATAAACGAGGCATAACTTTCAGCGATTTACGCTTCAGTCCTTCGCTAGTCTCTCAGCTGTCGGCAAACTTCATGATCTTTTCCCTGTTCTCGCGGATATCAGATATCTGCTTGTGTACTAACGCCATATTCAGCTAACAAATGGGTTCCTTTTTCTCCTTCCTCTAATCACAAATTATAGACTATTTTCTTTTATCGAAAGAACAGATCGCTTCCGCTTTAGAGGCATGATAATCCTGAATTAACATTTTAGCTGGCCTATCTTGCATAACACGCTG